TGGAGGTTTATTTTTGTTGACTGAAATAAAATTATCTGCTTTTATTTACAGTTTTTTCTGATGAAAGTGTTTTCTTGTTTGTTTTCCTTTATACAGTGAAAGCACAGAATCTAATTTTATGTTGGAACCTTTGAAGGTCCAAATTATTCATTTTTGTCCTCAAAACCAGAAATAGGCATTACTTTTTATACATTAATATAGTCTACATTACTATTTAGATTTTCTTTAGGATTATTCCAGCTCTACATGTTCAGCTACAATTAATTAAGCTGTGTTTCTTCCCCCGATAAGTGTTTTAATAAAGAGGAGTCCTGCATGGGTTTGATTTTTCAAAACTGTTTCCACCTGCAGAGTTCAGAACCAAGAGCCGATCAGTTACCCACAATTCTCCCCATTTAAAACCCGGCACGAAGCTGTCAATAATAAAGTGCGACCTGACTCATAATCACAAAGTGTATACATAGCACCCGCTTCGGATATGATCGTTTGCATGTGATCAACCATTATTCGGCCGTTATTAGCAGTTATCTGTCCCATATGGCTCCAGGCTGCACCTCCTCTACCTTCTAGTAGGTTTCTTATGGCTGATAATATGCAGCTTCGGCCATGTCTAAAGCCTTAAGTCACTTTCTATTTACCTACCGTAGTTTATACTTTTTATGTACTTTATTTACAGCCTACTTTCTTTACTTCGGTCATTCTGCATGTTTCATTCACACAGATTTCATGTAGTGTTTAACACTAGGACTTCCAGAGTTCTGATCTTACTAAAACTCCCACTGGCAGTCAGTTGGACGGGTGGCATTTTTATCAATAGAATGTAAGAGTAGCAATGAATTCATCGACTGAAATGGTTCTAGTGTGCAATATAAACCCATTGTGGTTATGTAGTATGAAGGACCAACTCTGCCATATTTAAAAATAAATACAGAAATAAATAAATGCTCAATAAATGTATAAGCATACAATTAATTGCCAACAAAAAAGTGAGACATAAATGTATATAACTCTTAATTAGCTTCTTTATTTATTTGCCTTTGTAATATTTACCTTATTTATTTTTCTGTCCTTTATAATCTTCAACTTTATTTTTTAATTACTTATATTTTTAAGTATTTATGTGCATGTTATTATATTTTTGTCTGTTTTATTCTTCCTTTGTATTTTTTTACCTTAGTTATTTCTTCGCCGCTGTTTTTTCTCTCTTTGCCCTTTTTACATTTCTCTCTGCCCTTTTTACATTTCTCTCTGCCCTTTTTACATTCCTCTCTGCCCTTTTTACATTTCTGTATGCATTTCTATCTCATTATGCAAATGAGGAGGGGGTGTGTCCTAGAGAGTCAACTTCTGCTCATTGGTTGGCTTGGCGGTCCATCTTCTTAACTCACAGAGCTCAGAGTACTAAGTTAAATGTTCTCTTTTCTGTTGCTGTTGTTCAATAAAAGTACGTTTTAAGATCATTTGAGGCGAGAATATTATACTTTTAAGCATCACCATATGGCCCATTCACAGATTTAATGCGTAATTTAAAAGAAAATGTGACGAACTTGAGAGGACCCGCGGCACCAGCGGAGCTCCGAAGCTGACGGCAGCCAGGTCCGACCACAGCCCATCTGCAGCGGCCCTCTCTCGGCATAGCCGTGTGTGAAGCGTGTTGGTTAGCATTTTACTACATCGGTCGAATCTACAGGAGGAGAGTCTGATGTCGAGTCTGAAGTCAGAACTTGAGTAGGGACTTTGCCAAACTTTGCCAAATACAACAAAAAATCGCCATCATAGCCTGGCTATAGACCTGGCTGCCGTCAGCTTCGGAGCTCCGCTGGTTGCCACGGTCCTCTCAAGTTCGTCACATTTTCTTTTAAATTACGCATTAAATCTGTGAATGGGCCATATGGTGATGCTTAAAAGTATAAGGTTCTCGCCTCAAATGATCTTAAAACGTACTTTTATTGAACAACAGCAACAGAAAAGAGAACATTTAACTTAGTACTCTGAGCTCTGTGAGTTAAGAAGATGGACCGCCAAGCCAACCAATGAGCAGAAGTTGACTCTCTAGGACACACCCCTCCTCATTTGCATAATGACATAGAAATGCATAGAGAAATGTAAAAAGGCAGAGAGAAATAAACAGCGGCGAAGAAATAACTAAGGTAAAAAAATACAAAGGAAGAATAAAACAGACAAAAATATAATAACATGCACATAAATAAATACTTAAAAATATAAGTAATTAAAAAATTAAGTTGAAGATTATAAAGGACAGAAAAATAAATAAGGTAAATATTACAAAGGCAAATAAATAAAGAAGCTAATTAAGAGTTATATACATTTATGTCTCACTTTTTTGTTGGCAATTAATTGTATGCTTATACATTTATTGAGCATTTATTTATTTCTGTATTTATTTTTAAATATGGCAGAGTTGGTCCTTCATAATGTAGACCTTAAAACAGGTCTAATATATAAAATATATATATATATATATATATATATATATATATATATATATATATATATATATATATATATATATAATATATAATTATTATTTTTTTTTTAAAGAACTCAGTTGACAGAACATGAGGTTTTTTGGGAGGGGTTGTTTTTTTTTAAATAGATGAACTACTATAATTATGTTTAGATTACACATAAATAGACTTAACAATTCTGCGGGTAGAAAAGGAATTACTGTACCTTAGGATTAATTCGATGATAACAACCTACTGAGCCTACTCGTAGGTAGGAGGCACAATCTGAAAGTATTCTACGGAACTAATAACCACTAATGATGGCCATTTAATGTAATGATAACATCCGAAGCAGCTGCAAACAGCTTTTTCTAATAACAGAGGCAGTTGCCTGGTGCTCACATCCAGTACGGACTGTGCTCACAAATTAACAGCTGTGAATTGGCCGAAGTAAGGTTTGCCTTGTTACTTAAAAACATACTGTTATCCGGACATTCTTGAATTCAGTTGTTGTTTAAGATGTCGAGTTAATAAATAAGAAAATTTAAATAAGTTTCATTCATGCTGTAACTCTCAATGATACCTTCCCTCATTTTATTCATTTACACTCCTACCCGCACCCGTGAAATAAAATGTTTTTTTTTTATTTCTACCCGTAGATGTACGTTTAAAAAAGTTACCTGCTGAATACCCACTGGTACCCAACCCAGTGCAGGACTTTTTTTTTGTTTTGGATTTTCTATGTAAATCACTCATCAGGGAAGTGCAGATGCTGCATGGTTAGTTTGTCCTGAAGAAAGCAAGTAGGATAACCTTCATACCCTAAGGATTCTTCCAGCTCTACATGTATAGCTACAATTTTTAATAAACCTTTCAAAACTTGGGGGAAGCACAATCTGTTACTCTGCTCAACAATCAGCAGGTACTGTGAAGGCCTACCCCCCATCCCACAGCTCTCCCAGGTGGCTGACTCCTCCCAGCTGCCGTCCATCTACAGATGAAGCCACACCTGCACAACCAGGACCACTAATGAACTGGCAAAGCCGAGTCATTTAAAGCCATACTGGGGAAATAAACTGTAATTGTTTTTATCCAGCAGGTATGGCTGCACTCAGCTAAATCACTGCGTTATTGTTGGCTATTTTCCTTCTATCTAGATTATCAGTGTTATTGGAAGCCAAAAAAAAAAACAGATTATTTTAGCGTAACTTATTGATGGTTTATAATTGGGATTAAATACAAAACCAAGAAAATGTTATTTCAAGGAACTTAGTCTTTTAAGGTGCAATTTTAAATTCTTTGTCTCCTAACCTGGTGAATAAATGTCTTAATTTGAAATTAACCCTATTAATTGATTAAAATGTGTAGAATCAGCTTGGCTTTTTTTCATTGAATGACATGAAACCTGCTGCCCGGCTCCCTGTGCACCACCTCCCTCCTCATACTGATGATGGGAGGAGTTTTAGGATAGCCGCTTCATGTTGAAGGATGGGATGGTGCAGTTGCTAATGCACATTGTTTTCGGGTCGGTAATATAGTTATGGAACATGTGCACAAATCAGTAGGAGCTGCTTTTAAAAGAACAAACAAACAAAAAAAAAAATAGCTGCTTGCTTGGGGTGCAGCTGAAATGAATTCCCAGACAGAGCAGGTATCAGAAGCACAGCTTAGTGCAGGGCAACTTTCCAGACCATTAAAAATGCTCTGTTTTAAAACTAGTACCCCTCTGATCTGAAGTATTATGATCTATTATATCACACTGAGTTTTTTTGTTTGTTTTGTAAATATGTGTGTGCCTTGAAATAAGGAAGACAACCCAGCATTATTATAGATTTGCTACATTTGTTAAATATCAGCCTTAGGAAATGGATGACAGTGGGATAAAACATACAACATTACATCATACAAAGTTTCTTACGATCGTGTCGATTTTACTTTTCGGTCGAGCAGGGAGTTTGGCTGTTCGTGTGCTGGCAGATCTCAGCAGCAAGGAGGTCAGCCCCAGATGAAAAGGCTGCATTGTTTTCCCAGAAGACTGAACAAACAGGATGAGGTCATCGGGACCACAGCCTGCCTGTCCTCTGATGATGAGGAAGAGGATGATGATGATGGTGTCCCTCATTGGATTAGCTGATTCAGCTTCAACCAGCTCTTTGCTCTTTATTGCAAGCATTGTTGTTTTTTTTTTTTATAGAGTTTTTTTTTTTTTTAGCTCACTAAATTGTATTTGTTTAACAATTTATATTCAAGGGTGTTGCGTTCTGATTTATTGTGATCGTTTGATTTTATTTTTTATTTTTAAATCAGATTTTGATGTAATACATATTTGGACACCAATGATATTTTACACAGCATGCAGTGACATTCTGCATATCTGCCAAAAATTCAGAAATCACCTGGAGGTTTTGACACAGCTCTGGCATCAGTCTTCCGGTGTCATTTAGGCTGGAAAATGTATCTAAAGTCTGTGAGCTCACCTGTCTGTGCAGCTGATGGACAGCTGTCCATGTGTTCCTGTGTGTTGGTCTCCAGGTTTACGAGAGCAAACTTCAGGAGCTTCAGAAACAGGTGGAAACACGCTCTCTGGTAGCAGAGACGCCGGACGAGGAGGAGCTGGAGGAGGAAGAAGAGGAGGAAGGTGTGTTTTACTATTAGAGGATTCTAATGCATTATAAACTATAAATGTAAAAAAAAATAAAGAAATTAATGAACTGTGTGTTCTCTTCCACATTATGTGTCCAGAACCTAAATTACTGGGATGTGCGTATATGAATTTTGATACTGTCACCATGTCTCACTCTAAAATGTATTAATAGTCATACTAACTACCCACCGAAGGTACTAAGATTAACCAGACTGTAGATGTGGCCCATAAAAAGCCTGCAACACTAATTCAACATATCAGAATGCTGTACTGAAAGGTAGTCCACTGCCTGCAAATCGTCTTTAAAAGTCAGAAGAGAATAGCTCTTATTTTAATTTCTTCTTGTTAATATATGAGAAGTTTTGTAAAGCTGAATTTGGAAAATAAGTGTTTGGATTGTAAAATCGTGTCTTTGGAGATGACAGTAAGCCTTTCAGTACAGTCATTTCCTAGAGGAAAATGCTGCCCCAAAATAAGGTGACGCAGTACTCCACATTATTAATGCTCAGAATCTGTGCAGAGGTTTGAACGTCCATAACCTCCTGTAAGAACCTTTTATGGTATTAATTTGAGCATTATTAATGTCATCTCTGTTTGCCGTCTCTCCATAGTGCCGTGGATTCAGCATGAGTTTGAGCTGGCTCAGTGGGCCTTCAGGAAGTGGAGGTACCATCAGTTCACCTCTCTGCGCGACCAGCTGTGGGGGAACGCTGTGTACTTGAAGGAGGCCAACGCCATCAGTGTGGAGCTGAAGAAAAAAGTGGGTGAAATCATGTTGCCATTAGGTTTGATATATTTGGGCGTGCTGCTGGCGTAGCGGTTTGCGCGTACGACCCATGTACGGAGGCCTTAGTCCTTGATGCGGCCGACGCAGCTTCGAATGCGGCCTGTGGTCCTTTGCCGCATGTCTCTCCCCCTCTCTCATACCCCCTTTCCTGTAAGCCTACTGTCAAAAAAAACGAGCCACCAGTGCTGCAAAAACTCAAAAATAAAAGGTTTTATATATTTGCAAATGATTACTAAGACACTTCTTTTAATTGAGAAATTATTGTGTATTACATTGTTGTAACTGAGGATTGGTTTGAGGTTAGGATGGAGTTGTTGCATCGTCACTTCCTTAGATGGACAGCTTTTGACTAACATAGCATATATGCTAGCTTTGGAATGAATTGGGTTGATTTTTTTAATTATTAAGCTTGGCTGAATTACATTGTATTTGTATTTATTGAATTGAAAGTTTGTGCTAAATAGTTCATTTTGATTATGTTGGTTTTTGGGATAATGGATTTTGTCATTTGACATGTTTGTGGGTGATTTCTCACTCCTTGTAGCCATTAAATTGTCCAATGTTGAGCTGGGCAATTATCAATCTATTGATCTACCTATTGATCTATCGAATCTTGTATAAAACACATTTTTAATAATTCTACTGATCCAGAACCACATGGTATTCTGGGAGATGTAGGCAGAGGAAAGGATTCAGCCACCTTACATCTGATGACTGAACCCTCTAAAGTTGGCAGAGGGGCCTACCTGTTTTTAAGGGTCCAAGGTTATGTTTCAAAAGGACTGGTATTACAATTCAAATTTGGGCTTTTATCATAAATAGATAAGGAAAAAGTACTAATCTATAATTATCAATATCGACTTACATGAAAGGCTTATATCACACTGCCCTGTGTCACCATGTGTTTTCCTCAGGGATGTCAAACTGTAGAAATGACATGTTACATATTCTACTGACTAGATGTCTAAACTCGAACCCTGAAGATGTCTTTGGGCTGTCATGACAACCAGACATATTGGCTGAGTTGACAGTTGGTCATAACAAAGCTCTGAGGGCAGCTTATATATGCTCTCAGTGACTTAGCTATGTAGCCTAACTTAATTTTCTTTTATAAATATTTTCAGCTTCTACTGCCATTACATCAACCCACTGAAGATGGGACATTATGTTACAAAAAGAGTAAAGAAAGTGTCACTTGAATAGAGACTGTGCTCTACTTGAAATGAAATAAACCAGCTGGTTTGCTGTAGTTCACCTTCCATCAGGAAACCATGCTATTGATACAACACATAAACTATAAAAGGCTTATCAGATTCCTAAAAATCCTCTCTTTGGTCAGGTCCAGTTCCAGTTCGTCCTGCTGACTGACACGCTGTACTCCCCTCTGCCCCCGGAGCTTCTGCCCCAAGAGCCGGAGAAGGAACGCAACCCGAGACCTTTCCCTCGTACTGTGGTTGCTGTGGAGGTTCAGGACCTGAAGAATGGAGCCACACACTACTGGTCCCTGGAAAAACTCAAGTAATAACCTATTATGTTATAGTGTAGTAACTATTGGTAAAGATGTGTTTTCAAACTTCTCAGCTAATGTTTTTTTCTTTATGTAGTCAGTGGAGATCCTCCTCACTGTGACTGGATGAACTTATCGTTATTGTTAGAACTGTGAATGTTTGCAAAAATGTGCTTTAAAATATATATTTTTTCTACACTGAGATGCATTTTTTGAAGAGTTTTTTTGTAAAAAAAAAAAAGAAAAGAAAAATTAAACACATTAATCATGTAGAATCAGTATTCAAATCAGCAGTTTTGTAAGATCTGTTTTCTCTTTTGACTATACAAAGAAAAAAGTCCAGTTCCAATCATGTATACATCAGCAGCTTCTCTCACCCTCCATTCATTAAGTTGTCTGTTCATTCTCTTCCTGCTTCCATTAATCCTGAGTGCATTTGATCATTTACAGGCAGAGGCTGGAACAAATGAGAGAGATGTACGACCGTGCCGGAGAAATGGCCTCCACTGATCAGGACGCTGATGGAGAGGGAACGCTGACTGGAAACGACCCGTTCTACGACCGTTTCCACTGGTTTAAGCTGGTGGGCAGGTGTGTAAGCAATATGAACTCTACTGCACGGTCCACATCAACAGTTTTGATTATTTAAAACAGTGATGCTCATTTCCCAAACTCTATGCTTTGTTTTTGTACTTTGCTATTCTTAAGAAAAGCAATTTAATCCTTTTAGGTTTAACATTTTAGCTTCATCTGTTTATTTTTACTAATGCCTATCAAACTATTACTATCACAGGCAAATGCCTATACTGTACTAAAGCATTTAGGTTTTGTTCATGTGTTTAATTTTCATTGTCATAAGTTTTTATGTATCATTATTTTCATATTTCCCATTCATGTTTGCTTATGTATACCTGCATTTTTTTTTATTTTTTTGTTTTGTTTTGTTTTTTCATTTAAAATATGCCAGTTTTGTTTTGTGATTGTGGTTTAATTTGTTTCATATGTTTACATGCCACATCAGTTTACATGTGTATTTATTTTATTTATATGGTTTTATGTTTATTTTCTTCATTTTGTTCAATGCATCATGTTGTGCTCTCATTGGTCGCTGTTCTCCTTTTCATGTAATTCATGTAATTCATGTGAACATGAGGCGGGAATGTTCTGCGTTTTGTATGTTTATCCTCTTTCAGGCTGCATACATGAGGGGATTTGTAGGCTAATCCATTCATGTGGGCTTTCATTTTGCTTTAAAATAGCGTTTGGTAGTATTTGCTCTGACACCTGCGATTAGATTAATGGCGGCTCTCTATGAAATGATTCCTAAACTGGAAAAGCTTTTTGGAAGCTTTTGCATTAGATTGATGCAGGTAATTACTGCAAGGAAAATTGAATCTTTTTATTTGTAGTTATTTGTTTGCTCTAAAAGCAGGGTTCCTACACAGTTTGGATATGATCTGGATATACATTAAAATAAATAAAAAAAGAATAAGGGTACATATAGGTCTTTAATTTATTCTAAGTCCCTTTGTCTAAATGTGTCTTTCTTTCCTTGTGTTTTTTCTTTCTTGGCTCCTTCCTTCCAACATTTTCTTATCCTTTTTTATTCCTTCCTTCATGCAGTCTTGCCTTGTGCCCTCTGTCCTTTTCTCGTTTCCCTCTTCCTGTTTGTTTTTGCCGTATCTACAGTTTGAACATTTAATTCTAAACTTTATGATTTTAATCTTGAGAAGGAGCAGACTCTAAAATGTTGTCTGTTAAAGTCTAGTTTTTTTTTTCATGAGAACTGTGTAAGAACCCTGAAAAGCAAAGTGAGCAAACAGTGTCACAACGTGAACGTTCCCTTTTTGTAACTCTTCTGTAACTTCACTGTTACCTTTCCTCGGTTCCTGCCACTGTTCCCAAACCTTTACCCCCATCCAGCAGTTCTCCCATCTTTAACGGCTGCGTCAACGAGCACCTGGCCGACCGCACGCCCTCTCCCACCTTCTCCACCTCTGACTCGGAGATTACCGAGCTGGCGGACGAGCGCCAGAGCGAGATGTCCGACTTCATGGACGACGAGGCGTTTGTGGACGACACAAGCTCGGACGCCGGCACCGAGGAGGGCTCTGACATCTTCAGTGATGGCCAGGACCCCTTCTACGACCGCTCCCCCTGGTTCATCCTGGTGGGAAGGTCGGTGATTTGGCCGTTTCCTCTTGCTCTGCACCCAGAGGCCGTCACAGGGGAGCTGTTGTTGGCTTTAGTTATATGAGCAAAGTACAAACAGGCTATAGAAGAGTTTCTACAGCATTAAGGAGCTGATTTCAAGCCTCAGAGTTTCAGAATTAAATTAAACATTCTTTGATTTGACATGAGTAGTCATCTTCCTGTTCTCTGACATCAGCCAATTAAGATTACCTTTATTTTGGACTTTAAAAAAAGATACAGTAAGAAGCCAGCATCATCTCCTGACGTCCTCCTGTGAGATGTGTCATCCTCCACCACCACTTGCTGCTGACTGTATTAACTCCCATCTGTCTGCTAAAACTGCACCAAGCAGAATAAGTGCTGTTCGTTTGTTTCCTTTTTCACTTTTTAAACCTTGTTTTCATTTTAATTTTTGTCATTTGTTTTTGTCACTTTTGAAATATTTTGGTTTTGGAATGTGTAAGCTAAAACGTTCTCATTTGACCAGTGAAATACTTTTTTTTTTCTTTTATGCGTAAAATCATACAATTGAAATCAAAACAAAATGCAGTGTAGTGTTAACCCTTTCAGTGTTATTTCTCTACCAGGTTTTCCATAATAACAGTTAAGTTTTGCTATAAAATGGTTGTTCTGTCAGTGTTTTTGCTTTAGCTTGTTTTATATCATCACGTGATCAGCAGGTGTAAAGTTTTACATATTGGTTGCTTTAGTTTGCTTCACAGTTTTCTGATGTCATGATTTAAAGTACAAACAAAAAGACTGTCTGATATATCAGTTTTTATGGAAGTAAGAGCAGTTTTGGATGCTAGTGTGATGAATGTATTGTTACGTATCACAGTTTGAGCATCTGGTCACATAGCTGCAAAACAAGCCTTCATTTTATAACAATTTAAGTTCAGGAGTTTTTAAGACTTCCTGCTTCCACATCAACTGGTGTCGGTGCTCCTGACACCTCTATGTAAAGCTGCCTTGATTTTTGTTCTTAAATCTTGCTTTTTCATGCCTTACCTTTTCATTTCTAAATGTATTTTACTCTGATGTAAACGGAGTGAAGTACAATCAAAACAGCTTCTAGTTAGATTAAAGCAGTGATATAAACCTTAAACTAGACTGTAGATTACATAAAGCTATGTCTTATCAGTTTTCAAGATGGGTATGAAATATTTCACAAAAGATAAAGAAAAATTGACAGATTGATTTGATACTGAACAACGGTGGTTGGATTTTTACCCAAAATAGAGAAGGTGCAACACTAATAACACCATCCTGTAAATCCAATATCGCAGTGATGAGCAGTGAAACCAACACACAGATGCATCCTGGGTCTTCAGAGATTTTATGCATTGACATCTCTGCTCTGGGTTTAGCCTTGAGTCTTCCAGCACAGAGACTGAGGGATGTGATCTGGTTGCAGAGTCTGTATCTATGAGTACTGCAATTACAAATAATTTTTTACAAAACGTATCAGAGTTGTGTGTTCCTGAGAGACCACCATGGGATAGAACCTTAAGCTGGTGTTTTTACAGCCTTTACTGCTGCATCCTGCAGATCTGTCTCCTATTTCACTGAATGAGACAAAAACTGAAAAAAATGACATTTTAAATAGCTCTTACTTGTTACTTGTCATTCTCATTTATAATTTTTTTTCTCCTTTATTTTGTCACTAATATTTCACTGTGTATATTTGTCAATAACTTGTGCAAAACATGTTAACTTTTTAACCTCTGCAGATACTAGATTGATGCTACATTTCGATGCTAAACCGCTCTCAGCAGTTTTTCAGATCTTTTATTTTTTTTTCTTGCACTCAGAGCTTTTGTGTACCTGAGCAACCTGCTGTACCCGGTGCCGCTCGTCCACCGTGTTGCCATAGTTACAGAAAAGGGCGAGGTGCGAGGCTTCCTGCGTGTGGGGGTCCAGGCTATAGCTGGTGAGTAATTATTGAAATCTCTAATGAAATTAAAAAAAAAAGAATTGCTTTTTTTTTTAAGTTAAAAGGGTCTAAACATAAGGGTGTGTGGTTCTGCCTGCTGCTTTGAAAGCCAAATGTGTAGAAAAGCTGTCAGGGACTGTGCTGCATCGCAGTGATTCCTTCAGATCCTTTATGCATTCCTTTAGATGTGCTTTGACAGCAGAGGTTTATGACAGGTTGGGATAAAAGGAGGGTTTGTTTCTCTTCTAGCTGACGAGGAGGCCCCAGATTACGGGTCAGGGGTAAGACAGTCGGGGACTGCCAAGATTTCCTTTGATGATGAATACTTCAAAAAGGTGAGCCCAGAATCAGATGAAAGCAGTTGGAAACTCAGACACCTGGGCTGTCTGTTTTTCTTTTCAGAAATAACTACTTGGTTGAAAATAATATATATATAATTCTCAGGACTTCATTCCTCTAGACCAGCTTTATGCTAATGCCTCCTGCTTTTATTCATCCAATCAGAACGACTTTCCCTCTACGGTTATGACTCGCTCTGGGTTGTCCCTGGAGGAGCTGCGTATTGTGGAGGGTCAGGGTCAGAGCTCAGAGGTCATCACACCCTCCGAGGAGCTCAACAGAATCAACGACATGGGTACGGCTGCCAGACCTTCACCTCCACACTCATAAATTTCAGGCTCTCCCCCTCACTGGCGATCACATTTAGCAGATGTTCCAAAGTTAGGATTTAATACTTTGTCATGTTAATGAGAGCAATGCAGTTTTATTTGTTTTGTATGCTTTTTAAAAAAAACTTAAAGTGCTGCCTCCCCAGAGCTGCTCTTGAATAGCTAGAAGAAGAGCATAGATTTCACATGGAACCGCCAGCATTTATTGGTCACTTTTAATAAATCACAGCTCATGTTCTTCCTCAGACCTTAAGCTGGGCAACATCTCAGACAGCAAGCTGAGTCACATTGACGGACTGGCAGGCCAGCTGGAGGTAGGGAGCATCTTCACCTTCCGTGTTACTGTCCTCCAGGCCAGCGGCATCCCACCCGAGTATGCAGACATCTTTTGCCAATTCAAGTGAGTAAAAATAACGTCTTAGCTGAACACTTAGAATGATTAAAATTTCTTTTTATACAACTATTAAAGTTTCACCACTCCGAAACGAGTTCTGATCAGAATTGGTCCCGATTTTATAGGAAGCGTTTTTCACGCAGACATGTGCTTCGTTTCAGTTTCCTTCATCGCCACGACGAGGCTTTTTCAACTGAGCCACTGAAGAACACCGGCAAAGGAGCTCCTCTGGGCTTTTACCACGTTCAGAATGTAAGTACAGATCAACATGGAAATATTTCTGCAGTGTTTAAATAGAAGCTTAAATCGGACTTTCTACTGTTGCAGGTTTCAGTGGAGGTCACGGAGTCCTTTATTGAGTACATTAAGAGCAAGCCCATCGTGTTTGAGGTGTTTGGCCACTATCAGCAGCACCCGCTGCATATCCTTGGCCAGGACCTGATCAGGTGGGAAGCTTTAGATATATGAAAGGAACCCTAGAAACTTTGATGTCTTGTTCTAATACAACTAAATAAAGTACAGAGGAACCTTCCAGCAAAAGGCTGAGTTTCACTCAGGCAATTTAGTGATTTTAATGTAAAAAAGTTCAGGGATTTTGAGTACTTATGTAACGAATTTAAATTATTTCATTTCATTATTCCATTTAAAGTACTTCAGATAGGATAAACTTCTCTTTTAAACTCACATTTCCTTCCTGTGCTTCCTTTAACAGGCCTCCAACACCATCAAGGAAATACTATCCTATACCTATGCCTCTGTCTAAACCAGGTACCAGTCATTCCAGCACACCTTTACAGTTAAATCTTCTTTCATCATTGATTCCCCATAACTTTGAGTTTCTTATATATCCAAACCTCACATGCACATTTTCATTTCTCGCTTCCTTTGGATCATTTTGTGTCCTATTGAATCATTTATCTGTAATCTTTAATCCTATTTACCAGACTCAGTCCTCCCTCTTTGTTGTTTTTCCCCCTGCATGCATACTTACTGATCTTTTCCACCGTTTGCACACAAACAACATCACTCACCAAGACCACACCCGTAAGATCGAGTTGATCCACTACTTGGTGAGCGGCTATGTTAACAGCAAAGTGCTGGATAGGCTGTCCGAGCACGCCAACGCCCTCGCCTCCTCTGCTGTGGCCAGCCTGGAGGACGAAGCTGAGCAGCTCTCACACTTCCCGTTCCTTTCTGCACTCCATGACCCCGTGTTCACTGTACCTAAGCACCACGGTTGGTTCAAAGTACTCTGTAGCAGTTGAGAAGCAGCCAATAGATGCCCCTCCACTGTCTGTGATTAGACTAGAGCTTTATTTTTTTAGTCCTCTTTGTGGGGACACACCAGAGCACCGCAGTGAGTGCTGCAGCTCACTGGAGACACCTTCAAGCCCCAATAAATTAGCTGCAACCTCCCCCGTCGCTTATAGCCTTACTTTAGTTTGTACCTTTCTGTAGATTTGCTGTATTTCCTGAATCGTAAATTGTGTTCCTGGTTGTGAAAAAAGAGAATTTATCATAAAGGACAACTGATCAGACTGTGGATCCCTAAACCCTCTGTGGCTTTAGAGAGCTTTAGTAGTTTCAAGCTATATATTGCAGAAATGGGTGTGCACATCAGAGATTAGATGGATCTAACAGCAGCGTAATCCTGATGATGTGTCAGACACCAGGAAGCGTTCAGCGAGGCGTAATCTGTGATTTAACTCCACCTTTCAGTCACAAAATACAGCTTCCTCTAAAAGGACTCGTGGTTACTGAACTTTTTGAAATTCATGATATTATAAGCACACCTGAATAAAAGGAAAGAAAATTACACATTGGTATTAAATAAAATTAGTCTTATAAAAATCTGAAAAGACTGGCATGCATCAGTGTTGAGCCCCCTGTGAATCTGCAGTTTGTCTCGACCGGCTTTACACATCTGGAGACCTGTCAGACTGGATGAAGAGAATCTGTGAACATCAGTTTCAAGCTTTTTATCACTTTGGATTCATGTCTGGATTTTTACAGGACATTTTAAGACTATAGAATACACTTTGATCTATAGCTCCTGATTTGTATGGAGGGTTTTTCTCCTGCTGGAAGGTGAACATTTGCCCTGATCTTATCCTTTCAGCCGCTTGCAGTATGAGCAGCTTCCCCACAGCAGGAGGCTGCCATATATATTCTGAGAATGTTGTGTGAAACACCAGAAAATCACTAGACTCGTTTTTTTTTTTTTAGACTCGTCTGATTACTATAATACACATTCTTTTATTCCTGTAGCAAATCTCTATAGTAATGTCTGTAAGGCTCTGTGTAGATTCCCTCAGCCTCAGCAGAAATGATTGGTGTTCTTTATGTTTGTTCATCATTAACATTCATGAAAACCCCTAATTGAATGTTGAGCTAATTTTAGCTGTTTTTTTAGTTCCAGCCACCAAGCTGAACACCATCACCAAGTCGAACCTGGGTCAGTGTGTCAGCAAGTACGACCTGCTCGTCTGGTTCGAGATAAGTGAACTGGAGCCTACTGGAGAGTGAGTGGCTCTCTGTGCCTTTTTCTTTCATACCAGATTGAATCCAACTTTTAATAGTTTATTAAATGCTATTTGTTCATTTTAATCTGGCTTTATCCACAGGTACATCCCAGCTATAGTGGATCACAGTGCCGGATTGCCCTGTCATGGCACCTATCTTCTGCACCAGGTAAGCAGAAAACATTTGACACTCCTCAAAATATCCCTATGTGTGTTTTAACTCAAAGTTTTTTTTCATGGCTCTGTAAAATAATAAAAATGGAATCATAATCTCTTAATTGTTTCTGCAGGGAATCCAGCGAAGGATCACAGTGACCCTCATACACGAGAAAGGCAGTGAACTTCACTGGAAGGATGTTCGTGAGCTGGTTGTAGGTGAGCTGCCCTTACATCTGCGCTCATTTGATCAGGCTGAAACAATCCAGCAAACACAACCTGTCGGAGTATATAGAAGGGAGGGTCCAGACTTTATAGAAGGCATTACTGAAATATACCACACAGCTTTCTGGTTGGGAGGACAGGCTTCTGTTTTGCTTAAGGTGACTTTTCTGTCAGCTTTTTATATACTCTAGCTGCAGCTGATGGACCAAATAATTACATTTCAAACTTTCAGCATCTTATTCAGACTGTTGATGTGCTGCATGCGGATGAAATGCTTGTAGAGTTTTTTCTTTTATTTATTATTATTTTCCATAATGATGTGTTGTGCTGTTCTGTTCCATCAGGTCGTATCAGGAACAAGGCTGAGGTGGATGATGGTGCAGCTGATGCCGTCCTGTCCCTCAACATCATTTCTGCCAAGAACATCAAGTCATCCCACAACACTAACAGGTACTCGAATGGGACTCTGAGGCTTACTTTGGTTCTGATGGATTCTACAGCTAACACAGGGTGAATCCATGGGTTTCCCAAGGTTCTGGATGTAGTTTGTCTTTCTTTTTTTCCGTCTTCTGCTATGAAATGTTGTCATCTAAAGTATCTAAGGTAGTAATGCACTCATTGCATGAGCTTTTAGTGTCTGAATTATTTTTTTACTTGACACGCTTCATTGTCTCTGTTGCCTGACTCTTTGTGATTCTCTTTTTGTTCTGTTCACTCTTTTCTCCTGCTGCCGCTGGACTCATGCTTGTCCTCAGGCTTTCTATTGATAAGGATATTGATAGGTACCCTTTCTATGAGAGGCCTTCAATGAATGGGCTTTATGCTTTCTTTAGACTTATAGATTCTTAGAAATAAGTTCATTATAGTTGGTTTTTAATCCTCTCCCCTCCATGTTGCATAAGATCTTTCTTTGTTCCCACAAATTGCTCAAAATGTTGATTTGCAAAGAAAGGCAATCTAAATGCAAACACACCCCTTGATTAGTGCTTCTTTTATACAGTATATTTATAAGTTTTAGATTTTAATATAAACCAAAGTTGTAAGGTGACAAGTTAACAAGGTCAGTGTCTGAGAGTAAATGCTCCCCCTGCTGGTAAAGAAGGAAACAATCATTTAAAAGGGTTAATTTATTTAAATAGACACGTTTATGACATTAAAATTGTTTTATTTTGATGATTGGTTTATGTACAAAGCAACACAGTGAATTAATTGTAGTATTTTCCAGCTCCTACCCTTACCATCTGTGCTGTCTTTGTGTCTGCTCACCATTTGTCCTCACATCCTTTCATGCTAACAGTAAGATTCCTGCTTAATCTGTCAGATCCGTTAATGCTGGTTCACAATTTAAGTCCCCAATGTTCCTGTGAGAATATAAACTTAGTGTTTGCAAAGCAACATATCACAAATCATCGACTCATGCCCCTTTCTTTGGGTTTTCTCTTCCAGAACCTTCTATCGTTTTGAAGCGGTGTGGGACAGCTCCCTCCACAACTCCCTCCTGCTCAACCGGGTCACTCCTTACGGAGAGAAGATCTACATGACTCTGTCCGCATATCTAGAGGTTTGTCCTTCTGCCCTGCTTCAAGTTGTCGCACCTGCCTCTGGACTTCGGCTCGCTCCAACTGTCTCCTCTCTTTTCAGCTGGACCACTGCATCCAGCCCGCCATCATCACTAAAGACGTCTCTATGGTGTTCTACTCCCGGGACGCCAAAATCTCTCCTCCCCGTTCGCTCAGGAACCTTTTTGGGAGTGGCTACTCCAAAACTCCTGACTGGTAAGCCTGCAAGTTCATCAACTTTGGATTTTTCTATTGAAATAAAAACATATTTTATCAGTATCTTATTTGCATTCTGTTTTTTTGTAAAGTTGGTAATTTCAAGATAAAAACTCAGTATTATCTTGCTGCAGAATCTCTGACTTGTTACAAAATAATTTTTTTGCTGGTTTGTTTTAGCAATCGTGTCACCGGTATCTATGAGCTGAGCCTGTGCAAGATGTCTGACACTGGAAGCCCTGGTGAGCAAGAAAAAGGATCTTTTAAACTAAAAACTGAATAATTGTTTCACCCTCTTCTTAACAAGTTATTCTTTGCTGCGCAGGGATGCAGCGAAGGAGAAGGAAGGTTCTGGATACTTCAGTGGCTTATGTAAGAGGAGAGGAGAATCTGGCCGGATGGAGACCCAGAGGAGACAGCTTGATCCTGGAGCACCAGTGGGAGCTGGAGAAACTAGAGCAGCTGCATGAGGTGGGAACTCAGTTCTTGTTTACATATTGGAAAAACTAAATACATAGAGAGCTGAGTTTTATCTGTTATTTAAAAACAACCCTCACATTAACAGGTGGAGAAGACCCGCCACCTCCTTCTGTTGAGGGAGAAGCTGGGAGAGGCTCCAGTGGGAACCACTCCTACCACCAAGTCCCTGAGCGAGTGTCTGTCCCCCAGCATGAGCACAGGCACGCTCTCCACCTCCACCTCCATCTCCTCCCAGATCTCCAGCGCCACTTGCGAAAGCGCCATCACCCCCAGCGAGAGCAGCGGCTACGACTCTGCGGACATTGAGAGCTTGGTGGATCACGAGAAGGAGCTCGCCTCCAAGGTGAGGAGAAAGCTCGTAAACCCAGACAGACAGCAGTGACCTCTCTAAGCTGCCTTGAGCTGACGGTCTTGTTGTGTTACAGTGTCTGCGCCTGCTGACGCACACCTTCAACAGCGAATACAGCGAGGTGGTGAACAGCATCAGTGACTGTAAGGTGAGAAATTTCTGGAATGTTTTCCTCAATCTGGTTGCATTTTATCTGAACGGTGAGGAAGCTGATTCTCATTGTTAAAAATGTGGAACTCCGTCCTTTCTTTCCAGCTGTCCGACATCTCTCCCTTGGGACGAGACCCATCGGTGACCAGCCTGAGCAGCGCCACCCTCACCCCCTCCTCCACCTGCCCCTCCCTGGCTGACTCGCGCTGCAGCTCCTTAGACCAAAAGTAAAAACTTTTTCTGATTGTTTGATGTATTTTTTTCTAACAGTAAATAATCCAGACAGTGCATAACTTTGATTCTTGGTATTTTGTCTTTTAAAGAACTCCAGAGAACAGCTCCCGTGCCTCCAGTCCTTCCTGCTCAGACTATGAGAACTTCCCAATGGTTCCCACGCTGGAGATGTCCTACCTTGCTCGGGCTGGAAAGAACGAGTTCTTAAACCTGGTGCCTGATATTGAGGAAATGAGGCCGGGGTTAGTATTATGGCAGTGGCTTATTTGATTTGGCTGTCATTGTCTGACAGCCAATTAGCAGCTTAGAAATATCCATCAAACTTGGATGCTCTCAGCTGATAAGATGCTAATTGGTGGCACTCATCTTTAGGAAAAACAAAGTAAGGAGGTCTTTTTTTTCTGTTCTTGTTTTTAGGTCTGTGGTGTCTAAGAAAGGTTTTCTCAGCTTCATGGAGCCGCGCTCCAACACGTGGGTAAAGCACTTCGTGGTCGTTCGCCGCCCGTACGTTTTCATCTACAACAGTGACAAGGACCCAGTGGAGCGCGGCGTTCTCAACCTGTCCACAGCCCAGGTGGAATACAGCGAAGACCAGCAGGCCATGCTCAAGGTAATTCATCAGAATCAGCAGCACTTCCTGAAGGCTCAAATTAACATTAGAACTATTTTATGAGTGTTTCTATGGTGAAATAGAGGTTTACGTACCCCCATCACATGACGTCATTCACTTTACAACTCAGAGCTTAAGTCATTTTTAAAAACAGGAACTTATTAGAATTTATCAGAAATGTTTAAAAATATATGCAGAGTAACTGTCTACCCTCTGTGGACTGAATGAGTGTCAAGAATCGGGAATCTGCTAAAACCCTGATGATGCAATCTTTAGTGAACTTAGTATCACATCAGTACAGGCTGAAAAGGAGTCAACTAAGAAAGGAGGAACTCCTAAATTAACATCTACCAGCTTCATTAATCTACTTTTCCTCAGTGAGTTTAAGAAGGATGAGGAGGCACAGTAAGCCTGTACTGCTGACCATGACTAGCATCATGAGGGTCTGTTTCTGATAAATGACACAAACTGAACGCAGTAATGATGGAGAACTACGCCCAAACTCACCAGCTGTGTTTGACGCAAGGACGCTGTTTGGCAACAACATCAAGCTTCTGAAATCATGATGACTAAATACAGGGTCAGAAAACCTCCCGCTGTAGATCTAAGTGATTACAAATCAAGTGGAAATTACACTAGGAGCATGTTAGTGGCTGAAAAGAGAGTCGTTTCTCAACAACTTTCAAATTAGCATCAGTGTTTGTGTGTTTTTATAAATTAAACATGTAACCATTTTTTTCCATAAAGTTATTTTGTGTTTCACGGCAAAATGAGCACCTTCCAAGCCCGCTATGGACGAATAGAAACCTCTGACTGCAGTTGCCTTGAACTTTTATCACCAAGCTTTGTTTTTATTTTTAAATAAATGGACTTTAACTTAATTTGATAAAACTGCCTCATTATGAATCTTTGTTTGCAGACTCCCAACACATTTGCAGTGTGCACAAAGCATCGAGGAATCCTCCTGCAGGCCAACAATGAGAAAGATCTGAACGACTGGCTGTACGCATTTAACCCCCTGCTAGCAGGGACGATAAGGTACTTTAAACCCAACATGTTAGACCTTTACATCTGTTGAACAAATGCACCTTAATCCTCACGGCAACATGTCGTCCCTGTAGGTCGAAGCTGGCGAGGAGGCGCAGCGGCCTGATGAAGAACTGAGTGACGCAGGCCTCCCATGGCTCCTGCTCCCTCCATGCAGCCTTTGAACATACAAAGTGTTAAAACTTATTAATCATTGTGAGTCTTAAAAGGTTTCCTCTTGTAAGTAGACCTGTGGCTTAAGTCTCTACTTTTCATGCGACTAAAAGTTTCAACTCCGTTGAACTTTGCTTCCCTCCAGCAACCCGAGCTCTTCTTCTCCTCCCCCTTCGGCTTTTTGTGTTTAAAACTTTTACGTCTCGATTTCTTTCTGCTTTGTCGTCACCCCTGAACTTCCTGACTTGAAGCATGTTGTAGTAGTCTACTTGTGTGTGCACGGCTCTCCAAAAACATTTATTTTTAGTTTGCCAAACATCTCTCACAAAAACAAAAGAAACAAAAAAAGTCTCCTATCAGTGTTACGTAACTCCCAAAATAAGTTTAATTTAAATTTTAGTTTTTTGATAATATGCTAGGATAAGGGAGGCTGGAGAACACCAAGTTTGCTTACTGATAAGGGAAAACAGATTGAAATTTTAGGTGAAAATCTCCAAATATATCAAAGGGATTTAGTAGTTAATACTCTGTAACATTAACTATTGCTTTTCCATATTGGACTTAAAGAGAAATGCATCAGGCTTCAAATAAGAAACTTAAGATTTCATGTAAAATCTAGTCGAGCTCAGCCCAAATCCTCCGTTTGATGTTAGATCCCACTCCTCAGCCTCTGTACATACACGCCAAGATAGTGCCAGTGTCAGTTTGTGCATTTGTTCAAACATAAAAAAAAAAGAAAAAAAAAGAAATCTTGCTAACTGGATAAAAATAAGCAAAAATGTACATTCTTTGTACTGATAGTTGCTGCAGGAATAAACATTTTTCCATTTTGTATTCCACCATAAGAGAAGGACTGGAGGATATGAGGGAGGAAATACAGGAGCGAAAGATGCTCCAGAGGGAAAGTTATTCCTAAAGGTGTTCCTCTGGGATGGCAGTGATATTCAGATCCTGTTTAAGGCAGTTCTCTCTGCTTCTATAGCAAAAATAAACCCAAACTTTATTACCTGACTGTCGCATATGTATGAAACTAAAAACTGGTGAGACATTAAAAAGTTGCTGAGATACAAGAGTGCTGAAGCTGCTGTAGCTTAAGGATGGATCAAGAAACATTCCCCTTATTGGGTAAAACCTCTAAAATGAAGTATTTGTTAATTTCAGCACCAACAATCATGACCACTTCTTTATTTTTTCTTCAGGTTCCTGAATTTAAACTTCTCCAACTCTAACACTCTTTCTACAACTTTTGTTCCTCAGTATTTACTGTTATTTGAAATGTAAAAAAGGGCATTTATTTGTTGATTTTTGTTTTTAACCAGCATTTATTGGTGTTGCACCTTTGTTTTTTTGCACATTAACTCATATCTATTGCAAGGCAGATCATGCAGGATTATGTCTGAGCTTCAGGAACAAGGATGAGTGAGCATATCGGAGTTACACTGGACGAAAACCTTAAAAGGACGTGGAGGAGGGTGAAAATGTTTGCCCTGCACTTGATGCTGATGAGGCGCCTCTGTCTCTGCACTCGTTCGCTGCACAGAAGGGCATTATTAAACTCTGGCCAACCAACCAGCAGATTGCCCCCTGCTCACCTCACACGAGAGCCGACACGGAGATGCCTTCATTAGTTTATTTTATAGTAGAATATTTGCTTGTCAAAGGACCCAGAGGTCAGGAAACCTGCTGGTCAGAGAGTCGTTAAAGAGCCCATACTGGAATCTAAACCCTGCATCTATGCATTCGTTAGGTTAAAAATACAAGGACACCAGAGCAAACATTTTCACACACAGTGGCTCCTTTGCAGAAGTATATTATTATTGTTTGTGTTTATGGTTTATAAATGTACATATTAGTTTGCAGCTCTTTGCACATATTAATAAAAGGTTCAACTAACTGATTAAATAAAGTCTGTGCGGTTTAGTTGTTCTGCTCATAATTAACCAAATGAAGGTTGGCAGCCTGAGCTGAGAGAGAGTTGAATGTACGATTTAAGATGTTTGGTTGTTTTTAACTATTTAATTTGAAGGGACCAGAGATGTAACCCGCTGCACCTTTTTTTTTTTTTTTCATGAGGATATGAGCAATAGTAGCGCTTCCTCCTGATCAGAAAGTAGTTTTTTTATTTTTTTTATTATGAGGAAACATTTACCAACTACCCACGATGCCCAGGTGTCTGAAATCTAATAAAAGGGTGAATTTATTAGTTTATTTAATCTAATATCAGGGAATATAACACATCATAGCTATAGACTGAAATTATATTAGAACACTTTAATGTGACTTTAAATTTTCCGTTGATGCCTTTCAAACTAAACTAGTCGTGATTTTTCTCATCAGCCCCCCCACCCTCCTCATCTGACAGTATCTTTGGGATTCTTGGATTAAAAAAAATAAAAGGACAAGACCTGAACATTTTACCGTTGTACATTATTTAGACTGGTTTCATTTTCATACTTATTTTGTAAATATCTATGTTGTATGGAGCTTGAACTAAAATGTAAATATGTTTACTGTATTTGTAATAATTATAATCCATCCGCTGTATAGCATAGATGTGTATCCTAACTCTCTGTCTGGTAATCTTGCACCACTCAACTGTTTAGTGAATGAGGCAACAATAAAAAAAGAAAATGTGCAAACTGCATTACTACACAGACTGATGCCTGTTCTGTTGTTTTCTCTTTGCTCTGAGTTTCGCTGCTGTTTTTTAAGGTTTTTAACACAAAAATACCTTCCTTGCAGTTATGAAGGAAGTAGTGTCATGTGACACCAAATAGATTTATTAAAAAGTTATTGAAACTTTTATGTTTCTAAACTGGAAAATATATTTTAGATGTTTTAACTGCAAAAGAAAATGCTAAAATCTTGTATAAGGTTATTTTTTTCTCCTATATTGAAGTGCTGAGATTCTTTTTAACCAGGTTTTTAATGTTTTCTTCAGGGACGTTTCACAGTCATTTGAAGGGTTTTTTCTGGCCTCTTTCCAGAATCTGGAAATAAGAGTAATTTTTGCTTGCTAGCAGACAAATGTTTAGATCAAGCTTCTAAATGTTGTTTAATAGGGAAACACTAAGTGCAACCCAATCATATTTGGGTGTTCAAAACTTTGGGTTATATTATGTTATTTTACTTTTAGAGTAAACAGGATCAGATATATCTACAATTTTTCTCCTATAACAGATTTGGATGCATCAATGTATTGTCTCTATTGCTTCAAGCCAAAAAATATATATATTCTGTGAAAAATATAAATCTTATCCCCCCAAAAAATTAGAGGATGCATTCCTGTCTTTAAGGCAACAAATCCACAATAATTCCAGACCTTCTTTCTACCTAAACAAGACCAGATTAGACTCTTAATATTCCCACAGATCCTTCAGTGTATTAAACTGTTAATGAGATGCTTTGCCACCAAACCTCTGTTCCATAGAAATGGCTCATGGTTAAGTCCAAGAAGACTGGTAGCAGACTCCACATGTTTACTTCTGTAATGGAAGGTGAGCTTGTTTTAATTTTCTGGTTAATCCAAGGCAACCAGCGTGGATGTAGCTGGTGTCTGATGGTCATTATGGAAAATAAGTGACCCCAAATGTAAACCTTTAGTTCTGTATCCTTAAAGTTTTTTTTATTTTTTATTTTTATTTACATCTTACTTCATTCTGCTAACTTCAATAGCAAGATAAAAATGGTTCCTCGTCTGTTGTGATGGGCAGAAAGTCACAGAACGCGACAAGAGGTCTCTACAACTTTATAGATTTAAAATTTATTACAATTATTTCAAAGGGGTTTTAGTGGTTTTCTCTGTTTGAATGATATGAATCTTCAAATAATTATTTTGATTATATTTTACTATTGCTACATTTTTACAAAAAAAAAAAAAAAACCTTCAAATTTATGGCTGATTGATACTGTTCAATGTGAGATGTTGCTTTACAGAATAAATAAAGGACCCTTTATGTGGTTTCTTTAAATTTTTACTTTTCATTCATAGATATTCTGCGCTCAGATTTGTTCTGACATTAGACTGGTTTATTTTATAGTCACGTTTATGTGATCTCCCACAGATTCTATTTTAACTCTGGGTGTTTTATGGTTTAAAACAAATAATTTCACATTAAAGATATTATTGGTATCTTATTTCTATGCACTTGCAGATGCTGCAAGATAAAAGCTTTATTTCCAAGATTAACAAGATTACATAGTTGTGCCATGTGAACTACTGGTCTGGATTAACTTCACATATCCACATGACCACTGGCATCAGCTGACAGAGCAGCAGCCTTAAGTCAGCTGATGTGTTTTTAGCTATATGCCATTTGAAAAGGTTTTATATATATAATTACATATATATGTATATATATGTGTGTGTATACATGTATATGTGTATGTATGTATGTGTGTGTCTATATATATATATATATATATATATATATATATAGTGTATAAATGTGTGTATATATTTATATGTATGTATGTGTGGGTGTGTGTGTAAACAGTTATCCTCGTATTTATATCTTTTTTTTTTTTTTTTTACCAAAGAGTAGTACTGATTCACAGCAACCATTGAGATGAAAAACAGCTCCCAACATTTCTATAAGTTAGTAATAGCAAAGCAAATGACCAAATCCTCTAATCCAGTTTTTTCAAAGATTTTCAGGATGAATAAAAACAAAACAACTTTTATTAATTACAGTGCTAATAGGCCAGTTAAAAAGTTTCTCCACTTATGAAATAAAAATTAAGATAAAAAAATAAATTTATTTCAAAATACTTGTGTTCAATTTGTTTTTATTTTATTTTATTTTTGTGTAATTTTTATTGAAGAAAAAATAAACGGCAAAGAAATGTATTTCAACACTTTACCCATCTAGTTTTTTTTTTTCCATATCTAGTTTCAATAGCATTCATGAATGTTTTTGCATGGTTTAAATATTTTTTTGAGTATTATGATTTGCACCCTATCTAATAGAGAAGGAATAATTGGGAGCGATTTCATTGTGATAATACATATTAAAATGTACAAACCATCCAAGTATTATAATCATTGGCCAACAGTGTGGTAAGAGCAACTTATTAAATGTCATGTATGATTATTATGTTTAGAAATTCAAATATTGTTATAAAATATTAATACATTATTTTTAGTTAACTAATTAATATGACTAACCTTAATTTGATTAAATTTTCAAAATATAAAAATAAACTTTGGGTCATTATTTACAAAAAAAATTGTTGTGTTTTTGGCAGTCACTCTTCAACCAAGCCGTACAGCTTTAATAGTAGTGGTTGTAAAATGATTGAGCATGAAACCAGCCAATAGGAGACAGGATACCTCTGGTCAGGGCTGGAAACCAATCAGAGTTCTCAGCCATCATGCGCTTGTGCCATCTAGGCGGCCTCTGATTGGTGGGTGCTGTAAATGGGCGTACGTCACCTCGTGCGTCAGGTTTAGATGAGAGCTGTTGAAGAAGGAAGCGATCATCGAGAGAGAAGAGAACCAGAGGAGAAGCAGCTCGAAACTCATTGTACCCATTCTCACCTTCCAGCTAATATACCGGAGGAAAAACATGGCTCAGTAAGCTTTCTAAACTCACTTTACAAATAAACACAGTTGAACAACGTTTCCTTGTAGTCGAACGTTACATTTTTGATTTGACAGAATATAAAACAGTGTTCGTCATTTTTGGTATTTTAAGTAGTGTTCTTACTAAGTAATTGAAAAGCTTTTGTTCGAAGTTGAAATAAAAAACTGACATGATTTATAAAGTGTAAAACTACACGGATTAGAGACCCACTAGTCCCAATGCATTCTGGGAAATGAAGTCATCCAGGGCTTGTGTTTTTTAGGTATTTGATTATACTAAAACAACCAAAAGAGAAAGATGTAACAGTCTGTTTTAGTGTCTTACAGTTTGATGCCAGTACATCAGGTCCAGACATGACATTTCTTCTGTTTTCACAGAGCAGACATTGCACTGATTGGGTTGGCCGTCATGGGCCAGAACCTCATCATGAACATGAACGACCATGGCTTTGTGGTAAGATCCCAACTTTGTTTTGTTGACGCTTTTCTTAGTAAGTGTATTTTGTTTTGTCCTCCTCAGTAAGAACATCTCTGTCCAACAGGTCTGCGCCTACAACAGAACCGTGTCCAAGGTGCACGACTTCCTGAAGAATGAGGCCAAGGGCTCCAAGGTGGTTGGAGCCGAGTCCCTGGAGGACATGGTGTCTAAGCTGAAAAAGCCCAGGAGAATCATCCTGCTGGTCAAGGCGGGGCAAGCTGTGGATGACTTCATTGATAAACTGGTTTGTGTTTTTCTACCAAAAATCATGTTTAAAAAAAAAAAAAAAAGCAATGCTAAATTTGGAAGTATTTATGAGTAAATATGGGGCTTTATAAGATAACCTTAACAAACGCACATAACAAACTGACCTAATTGCTTTTATTTTAAACAAATGAGCAGCAGTGGATCCTACTGCTGTTTAATGACCTAAATTACACCAGCAGCAAAATATCAGACCTCTTTGCTGCCCCGTATTTTATAAAGTAATACTAGAGGTATAACAATGAAATGTTTGGCTGCTAAATTTATGCTGCTTTCTTTCTGTCAGAATCTGCTCTCCGCTAATAAATAGTTTGCCAACCGTTGTTTAAAACAGTGCTCCTTTAGTTTTACTCTCTGATGGTCAGTGTTTTTGACAACAGCCAGGCTATTCTTGTAAGCCATGTTTCAGCCTGCTGACAGTCAGTGCTTAGCTACAAGCTAAGCACTGACTGTCCATTTCTTATTGATAAGACTTGAGTGCATGGATCAATTTGCTAGAAATGGAAACCTGTCTATTCTCCTACAATTTTCTCCAACTGATCTGCATTTCTATTTTTTATTTTCATGAAGTGCAGGACAAGTTCTACATTTTCAGTCTGTAAACACAACAGAGAGAAAAAACTTTAGGACTTTTTTTGTTGTTTAATAAAGAATCAGTGTTAAAAGTTGGAAACTTTAATGCATAATTAGAAAGATGCAATTTCTTCAAACTAATTTTTTTTTATAGTTTTTCTAAAATCAGGAAAAAATAGTTATTGGTCATGAAAAGCTTGATTGATGCTGCTCTACCTGAAACCATAGGAAACGCCTCCTTTGAAATATTGGCAGTAATTAAATTCTTTTTTTTGTTTGTTTTATAAACCTTCTTTCTGGAAAGTGCTAATGCTTCCTCTCCACTCCATTCATTGTAGGTTCCTCTTCTAGAAGCTGGAGACATCATTATCGATGGAGGCAACTCTGAGTACAGAGATACCACAGTGAGTTACTGGGAATGACGGTTTGGCTGAAATTGTGTATTTTTCAGCATGTTTGTTCATAGTTGCTCTTTGGTTTTAATCACAGCGGCGCTGTAAGAGTCTGAAAGAGAAGGGTTTGCTGTTCGTTGGCAGTGGAGTGAGTGGTGGAGAGGAGGGAGCTCGTTATGGACCCTCGCTAATGCCAGGGGGACATAAAGAAGCCTGGTGGGTCCTAAAGAAAACAAGATGTTTCGTTTTTTTTGTCTTTTTGAAAAGGTTATACATTTTAGTAACGTGGTAAATGTGTTTTTTATTCCTTTTTAAGGCCGCATATTAAAGACATCTTCCAGAGCATCGCCGCTAAGGTTGGGA